AGTCTTCCACGCTGCCTTTGCGGCCTGCTGCCGGCTGAGTTGCTCTATGCTTCCTGGGCCGGGAAAGGAACCTTCTCCAGGGGAAGGCTCTCATTCTACCACATCTGGGAGGCCCTTTCTAGGTTGCCATCCTTCCTAAATCTTATTTCCTCATTATAATAAGAGGGTTTTGTTTGTTTGTTTTAAAGTCCTTGCATGTCTAGGTCATTCATTCATTTACATATGAATTCACTTGTTTGTTGATATATTCTCTTTAAAAAAAGATGTATTAGGTGCCTTCTTGGGTGGAGGCTGTATTAATCACAAAGAAGTGATTCAGACGCGGGTCCCCACTTCAGGAAGCTTTCAGCCTGGGATTGCCCTCAAGTGCTTTGAGGAGGAAGCACAGGCTGGTAAGGGCAGTGGCTGGCCTGACCTGAGGCAGCCATGCCTGCTTCGTTCATCGACTCTTGGCTGTGCACCTGAGCCATGGCAACATGTTGGGAATGATTGGGGTGTCTGCCTCTCAGACACAGCAGAGAGAGACCCCAGCACTAGGTTCTACAAGGTGATAGGGCCGGGAGAGAGGGGGCTGTGAACTGCTGAGGCAGGAGGCCAGGCTCTCTCCTGGTACCTTGGGGAAGATTCTCTAGATGGGGAGACTGGTCCTTTTCATCCCATCCATAAGAGAGAATGTGGATGGGTGGGGCTTTGGCAAGGCTGACTTGCCTTTCATGGTTAGGGGAAGGGATCATGGGTTGAGGTGTTCCTATACTGGGAGAGGAGAGGGCTTTAGCTCACAACCTGGAGGAAGTGGGCATTCCCAGAGCTCCTGGAGGCTGTGAGGTCGCCTCCACAGTGCAGGTGTGAGTCCTGCACGGGGCTGAGGAGAGCAGGAGCTGGTGCAGTCACTGCCTCGGGTTGTTTTCTCACTGTCCCTTCTACAAACGGGGCCCATAGCCTGAATGATGTCCTCAAATCCTGTTGCTCCCATGACTCCAGAACACTGGAGCCTGGGGAAAGAAAGTGTGGGGAGTAGGGTTTTGGGGGAGACCGGAGATGCTAGGGAGCAGAGAACAAGACTAGACGATAGAGATCTTTGATACTTCTGGAGAGAATGGCAGCCTTGCCCTGTGAGTTTTGAGTCTCGGTTCCCCTAGCTGTAAAATCTGCTAAATATTGGACATTTCTGGGAAAATCCCCAGGGCTCTTTAGTTTCTCTTTCTTCTGCAGTTGGAAAGGATGACATCCCAAGGAGCTACAGAGAAATGCTGGCTCCACCCTGTGCAAGGGACTTAAATCAGCATTTGTTGACATTTCTCAAGACACCCTTAGTGCTGGTGACATTTCAGAGACCTGCTCTCTGACAGGGCTGGAGGATGGAACCCTGACCCTGAAGCCTTTGCTCCACAGCCAGACCCACTGGGACAAACCTTACCTTTCTTCCTGTGCCTCCCACCAGTGTTGGAACTATCCAGGGGTCTCTGGTGCCATCTTGAAAATCCTTACGTCAACTGTGTACTGTTGTCCAAGGGTGAAGTTCAGATGAAAGAATTTAGCTCAGGGCATGTGGGGGATAAGCAGGTACAGAGGCTGGAGAAACCAAGCCAGTTTCTGGCAAGCTCATACTTTGGAGAGTCACTTGGTGGGTAGAGGTAAGCACAGGAAACTAGGAGATTCTTTGATGTTCCTGTTGATGCTAACAGAGGGCAACAGAGCTGTGGACCATATCAGAACAAGCCCAATCTAAGGCCAGACCACCCTGAACATGCCAGATCTTGGGAACTAAGCAGGGTTGGGTCTAGTTAATACCTGGCTTAGGGAAACCAGCTCACATCAGGAGGGCAACACAGGCTTCAGTCACTAGTTTCACTCTTTCATCTCAGGCTACTCAGGAAGCCTGTCTGAAAGGTCGTGTCAGAGTGATGACAGTGTCTAGATTTCAGAGTCAGCAGAGCTAATCCTGGCTCTACTGCTGGATAGCTGCGTGGCTTTAGGCAAGTGCTTCACCCTTCAGAACTCTGTCTCAGTTCTGAACAGGGTAGTGATGCTGCACACCTTGCTGGCTTGTGGAGAGAATTAGAAAGGATAATGTTTTAAATTTCTTAGCGTGGACCACCTTATAACACATGCTGAGCTGCTTTGCCGGTGTCTATCATTAGAGGTATCCACTCTCAACCAGGAAGCAGGTTGGACCTCACCAAGAACCTTTCTCTCCTCAGATGGGCTTCATCCACAAAGAGAGACCATCTTCTCAGCAGTGGGTGCCTGTGCATTTGAGTGTGTGCCGGGTACCAGATTTCTGCTGGAGCAGGGGGCTTGGGTTAGGGCTTGGAAGAGTGCCTGCTGCTATTTCAGAGGACCGAAATTTGGTTCCCAGCACCCATGTCAGGTGATTAACAACTCGATGCCCTCTTTTGGTCTCTGCAGTCACCTGCACACACATGCACACACGCGTGCGCGCGCGCGCACACACACACACACACACACACACATAAAAAGCAATGAATCTTAAATAAATATGAAAGCAACCAGTCAAGGATTGCGGATTGGTGTTAATAGCCATTAAGTGAATCTCTGGTCAGGTGTGTTTGGTGACAACTTAACCCACAAACATTATCTCCTAGGAGGTGAGGATGAAATTATAACCACCCCACTGTCTGCCTAAGCATTTCTAATGGTAAGAGAATAAGGCATGTGCCTCCTGCTGCAATGCAAATGACATATCAGCATTGCCACACATGAGTTCCAAAGGTTTACTTTGAATTGCTTCAGCCTTTAGATCAATTTTCTAGTTTACAGGAAATGCTGTGAGAGTGTCATACGCCGAATAATAGTACAAGGAAATAACTAGATAGCTGGGGGAAGAGATGTGTAGAGGAAGGCAAATCTGGCCGTTCTAATGGATAAATAGCCCAGAAAAATGGACTGCATCATGCCAAACAGTGTTCTTCACTGGATTATCACACTGGACTCTGGCAACCCAACTAGAAATGAGCTACGTACTAAAAGAGAAGACAGCTACTGAAATGAAAAGGTAGAAATTGCTGGACACACACACACACACACACCTTGGTCACTTTTTTTCTCACTTTATGTGTATGGGTGTTTTGCCTGCCTACATGTATGCAGTGCCGGTGGAAACCAGAAGAGGGCATGAGATCCCCTAGAACTGGAGTTAGGGTCAGTTATGAGCCTCCCTGTGGGTGCTGGTAATTGGACTGGGATCCTCTGGAAGAGCAGCCAGTGCTCTTTTTTTTGTTTGTTTGTTTTGCTTTGTTTTTGTTTGGTTTGGTTGTTTGAGACAGGGTTTCTCTGTGGCTTTGGAGGCTGTCCTGGAACTAGCTCTTGTAGACCAGGCTGGTCTCGAACTCACAGAGATCTGCCTGCTTCTGCCTCTCCCAAGTGCTGGGATTAAAGGAGTGCACCCACAACACCCAGCTATGCCAGTGCTCTTAACTGTTAAGCTATCTCTCCAGCCCCTTGATCACATTTTGGTTTTAAAAAAAAGACTCCTAAGTTTAAAATGGTAGTTCAAGAATACCTGGGCATGGTGACACACACCTGCAACCCCAGAACTTAGAAGGCAGAGGCAGGAGGATTGCCACAAATTTGAGGTCTACAGAGTGGGTACCGGGTTAGCCAAATGCCACATGGCAAGACCTTATCTCAAGAGCAAAAGAGAGGGGTAAAGGGATGTGCTGTTAATGGTGATAGGAATATGACCAGTTCCTAAGTGTTGTAGTTTTGCTTTCTGCATTCATCACATTTCCAGAATGTGCATGAAATTGCTTCTATAATAGAATGCTATTTAATAAACAAAATGGAACCAGTAGCAGTGTGTTCCTGCTGGCACTGTCATGGCACAATGAGGTAATGGTGAGGATTACAGGCTTTGGCACAGTGCATGCTGGGCAGTCAGAGACCCCTAAGATATCTGTGTTGTTCTAGCATTACCTTGAGCTGGCTTATTGGGGGTGCTACCCCTGCCCCCGAGTCCTGGCACACAGCAGGCATCTGCTAATATTTGCTGAACAAGTCACTTCCTTTGGAAGGGCTTTTGTTGAAGAGCTCCAGAGTCCCCTTCCTCTCCCTGAGTCCCCAGCATGTGACTCTTAGCCAGTCCTTAAAATTAGCAGGAGGCAGAGTGACAGAGAGCCTCCATGGTCTGGGTCAAAGGGAACAACTGAGTCCCCACTCCCCCAGCCTACACTCTCCATTACCTTCTGTTTCACTTCTAAAACAGAGTCTGACTGCAGCTCAGGTTAGCCTGAAACTCATGATTTTCCTGTCTTATTCTCCTCCGTGTTGGGATTATAAAAACAACTTCCAATTCCCCTGTTTCCAACAGCTTTTGACATAGGCTTCCTCGTCCACCCTAAAACTCTGGGCCAGAGGTTGGGACTGAAGCTAGTCTTCAAACACAGAATGGGATTAAGGCTAGCCGTACCCCCAGGGGCTGGTTCTTGGTCTGGTATGAGCCAGCTTCCCCGATAAAGCTTCAAAGTTTAGATCGTGCTGCAGCAGGATTGCGTTAAGGCTGAGGACTGCTCTGAGGAAAGCCAAACTTTAGTCAGGTAAGCTCCGGTCCCAAGCTTGCCCTGGACTGAACGCTGAACCTGAGGCTGAGTGTGATCCTGGCTGAGTGTTGCACCTGCCAGAGGATAGGGGTTGAGCTATTGCTTTGCAGAGAAGCCAAGGAGGAGGCCGTGGGCGAGTGCACTGCGGGCCGGAGCTCGGGCAGCAATGCTGCGCTGGAGATGCAGAGCTGCCTCCGAAGGCTCCCATGTGCCTCCAGCTGCGGGCTGGACTCCCTTAGGCTGAGGGGAGCTGCGCCTGCCCGCGCCGACTCGGAACGCTCCAGCACCCGCAGGGGCGACACAGGACTTTGCCGGCAGCCGAGGGGCACTTGCCTACCAGGGATCCCCTGCTCTGGAGAGGGGCCTCCAGGACCAGGGTGTGCGGTTTGTGCCCCATTACCCCAGCTCCACACACCAGGAGCCCGCCGGGCTCTTTGCTCATTAGGCCGACATCCCTCTTTAATAAAAAATACATGAATAAATAAATAATAACAGCCATAACCGAGCGGGAAACCGCTTTTCACTCTTCTTTCTGTTCTGTTTCCTCCAGCCCTTCCTTGCAACCGCGGTCCGGGGCCTCTCGGTGGAGTTGACTGTAAATCCTTCCTCCCCGCAGAGTGGCAGGCGGCTGCGTTCCGGAGACTGAGGCTGGCACCACTGGCTGCTCTTGTGCGGGGCTAAGCCAGAAGAGGGGCTCTTCTGCTTTTCGTTTGTTTGTTTGTTTGTTCGCTGCACAGTCAAGCCTTTAGGGGACAAGACTCGAACACGCAGGGACAGGCACAGACTGGAAGCAGTATGTGAGGAACTGGGATGTGGCATCTAGCGAGTAGCAGGGACCACACCGAGCTGGTCTTAGGGAGATGGAGAATTGGGAGGGAAGATTATCTTTCTTAAATAGTACGACCAAAATCTCACTTTTCACATTGGCTCGCATTGTTCCCTCTCTCTCTCTGTGCCTCGGTGCCTTACACCCTTTCTGTCTCTGTCGTGCGAGACTTACCGCCTCTTTCCTGATCTCTCCCCCTCGCAGTTAGCAGAAACCTTTCGGCGCCTGCCCTCGGTTCAGGACCATGGAGAGTGTCCTGCGAGGCTGGGGCCCTCTGCCTGAGGAAACCGAGTCGGCATAGGGAGCCAGGCACAGGCTGGGTGGAAGCAGGGTAGAGGTGGAAGGGAAGAGAGAGGGTGAAGGGCGTTTCAGCCTGATCCTTTTCTAAACTGGCATTCAGAAATGTTGCTGCTCTGGACCAAAGACCTTTAGTTACCCTCTGCCTACCACTCGAATGGGCACACACACACACACACACACACACACACACACACACACACACACACACACACATACACACACCCTGAATCACTAGCTTTTGGAGGATTGGGAAGCAAAAACGCTTCTCATCCTGGGATATGCAGTTCAGGAGTACAGCCCTCGCTAGGACGTTAAACATAACCCGCAAATCCTGGCGCGGAGAACACCATGACCCATGAGTAGGAGTTGGGAGGCTGTGGAGGCAAGTTGGTGCACACAGCCCCCAATCTGAGGGTGTGCTCCAGAGTAGGAAGAGTAGGCAACAGGGACCATGGTTCATTCTGGCAACTTCAGGCTGAAAGTGTGGGGTCAGCCAGGGCCTTCCCGGGCCCTGGCTCAGAACTGATGAGACCCAGGAGCTTCCTCTCCCCTCAACAGCTCCCTCTGGACAAAACCGGGAGCCAGATCTCAGGAGCAGTCCAGATGTTGGGGGGAATACAGGGAAGTGGAGCAGATGGGGCCTGGGATTCCATTGGGGGCAGGGGAGGAGGGCAGCAGCTGGAGGCTGTGCTGGGGCATGTGTTAGAGACAAGGCTCGCACAGAGTGCCAGCACATGCCCTACAGTGGGAGCCCAGGATGTGGGACTTGGTTAAAGATCAGGTGGAGTCAGGTGGCCCTGGGAACCTTCCCTGGACCAGCTACTAATCTCTCCTGCCAGGGCCCAAAGGGTGTACCCCGTGTCAGAAGTGTGACAGAAGGCAAGCGGACGTGGCAGACCTGGCCCCGCACCTGCACAGGAGAGCGTAGTCTGTCTGCCAATCATTCAGGCCTTTACTTTGGACCCTGGGAATGCGTCTGCCATTCAGTGGCCAGAGTGCCCACTCCAACGAGGCTTGGGGTGGAAAGTTTGGCCCAGAGAAGGCCCAAGCTTTCTCCTTCCTGTCTTCCCCAGGAGACAGCATGTCTCCCCACACAGGGCCTTGATCTGTGTCCATGCCACACCTGTCCTGCATGTCTTAGAAGGCTGTGGAGCAAGGATTTGGACACCTACCAGGAAACTCTGTAACTCTTATCATCCTGTCTCCGGCACAGACTTGAGGGTCATAGACTTTCCATCCCCACCCCCGTTTTGCTTCCCCTGGCTGTTTCCAACTCCCTGTGGTCACACCAGTGAGGGGAGGGCCGTGAGCCCACTTGGGAGATGAGCAAGCAGGTGCATAGCGGGGAAATTGTGCATGGAAGGCACAGGTCTGCTGCAGGGCAGGATCGAAAGCTGCTCCCAAGGCTTTGGGGCAACGCGGCCACCAGCAAGTCACGTGACCCTGGGCAGGACTCTCCCCACCTACTGAATGAGAAGGTCTGAACAGGTTGATCTCCAAGGCCTCTTTCTGTTCCACTCAGCCCTGGGAAATGGAATGGTGGGGGTCAGCTGTGTTGATGCCCCCCCAGCTGAGGACAAGGCAGTAATCCCTCACATTCTTGGTCCTCGGGGCCTCCTAGGAGGTCAGGACGCTTGGCAGGGGTGGGTCCTCTATAGGCTGCCAAGGTGGGGCTGGAGTAGCGTCTTGGAGAGACCAGATTCTGGGCTCCTGGCTGCCTACTCAGGAAGGAGAGCAGGGAGGCCTGGGGTAGAGAGCAGAGCTAACCGGGCAGCCAGCGCCAGACAGGCAGAGCCAGGCGAGCAGAGCAGAACGAGGCTCAAAGCTCTAGGGCTTTACAAATGGATTTTGCTAAAATGGAAATTTCCACCCATCCCTGAAATGGAGCCTAGCAGTATGGCCAGATCTGGTGGGGCTGCAGCAACTGGGGACACAGGCAGGGACAGAAACCTCAAGTCTCTCCAGCATCCTCCTTGTTCCTCTTCTCCCTGATGATGGGGGGGGGGGGGGGGATCAGGCTCCTCAGGGACCTGAAGAATCCTCACACCTTTAGAAACCGCTCTCACTTCCCCTAACCTTTGTGTGCCTCCCACCCCTCACCCAGTCCATGCCCTCCTCCTCCTCCTCCTCCAGCTGCCTCCACCCCAAACAGCCCACACCTCCCCCCAAGACTGACCGACCACTCTTCCCATCTCCGCCTTCCCAGCCTCTATCCCTGCTGCTCCCCTCCCCCTCCCCCTCCCCCCCTCCGCTCACCCCAGCCCATTCACGCTGCACCTCCTCACCCCACCTTTTGGAACCCTCTGCGGCACTCTGTCACCCTTACTTCCCTCCTGCTGCCGCCCCGTATGACACTGCCTTCCCACCCTGATCCCACTCCTACACACTTGCCTGTAACTATTAATAGTCCTTGGCAGTTGCTTTTTGGAGACAAGGTCTTGGCTCTGTAGCCCAGGCCGGCCTTGAATTTGGAATCTTCCTGCCTCACACTCCTGAGTTCTGGAATTACAGGGCTGTGCTCCACACCCTGGACACCTGGCTCCCACCCTCAAGCCTTTAGAGCTAAGTGTCTTTCCTGGAAAGGGGCTGGGTTCTGGTATCAAACTCCTAACCCAACCCTGACTGCAGGGTAAACCAGGAAATTGTCTGATGCCTTCGAGACCAAGTCCTTACCTGTACAGTGGGGATGACAACTAACTACTCTCAGGCGGGGCGTTGAGCAGACTTCCTGGTGGAACTCTTGCCTAGTGTGCAGGAGCCTCAACCATGTCCATTTGCTGTTCTGTAATTAAGGGATCCTTGGGGGGAGGGGAAGAATGGAGCTGGTTGTGTAAGCCCAGAGGGCCAGAGTGGAGAAAAACAGTGAACCAGCTCCTGGGAAAGACAGATAGCCCAGACCTTAAAGAGACACACACAGACACTGGCCATGGGGCATTCCAAAGAATGAGGACATCCTTTCCTCCCCAGGCCACTGCCCAACACAGCCTCCCATGGACACCACCCAAAGACTAACCTAGGAGTTGGAATTGGAGATGGAGCCTGGGACATCCCAGGCCCCTGGGGAGTGGGTAAGGAAAATGTTGCTGGACTAAGACAATACAGGAGCCAAGAAGGTAGGCAGGAGAGGCAAGGGGTGGGCTGAGACAGGTTCCCTGGGGGATTTCTTGTTCCAAGCACAGAGTTTAAAGTCTAGGTAGAGACAGGGGACCAATCAGTCCCTGATATGAGGTCTTGGTGTCAGGAGATGTGTTAGGACCTCAGGGCAGCAGGGAACAGGACCCTGCTTCTCGGCAGGGGAAGAGTACTAGGGAGTAGTATGGAGATTGTCAGGACTGAGCCTGGGAGCTGTGAGTATGGGACCTGCGGTCAGAACAGGCCAAAAGACTGATTTAACCCCAGCAAGGGGACATTGAGAGGCCCCTGGTAGGCCATGGGGGCAGGTGGGGCATTGAGGGGCCTCTGGTAGGCCATGGGGGCAGGTGGGGCATTGAGGGGCCCCTGGTAGGCCATGGGGGCAGGTGGGGCATTGAGGGGCCTCTGGTAGGCCATGGGGGCAGGTGGGGCATTGAGGGGCCCCTGGTATGCCATGGGGGCAGGTGGGGCATTGAGGGTCACTTGGTAGGCCATGGGGGCAGGTAGGGCACTGAGGGTCTCTTGGTAGGCCATGGGGGCAGGTGGGGCACTGAGGGTCTCTTGGTAGGCCATGGGGGCAGGTGGGGCATGGCATTGAGGGGCCCCTGGTAGACCATGGGGGTATGCTATGGAAACCTACCTTCTTCGTCTTCAGCTGCACTGAGAGCTCGCATCTTTCTCTCATCCTATCCCCTGGCGCTGGGCACCAGTCTCAGAGCCTGGCCTGAGCTGGGCCAGCCGGTGGAAGACCAGGTCGTTACGGGGATGAAGTGGCTGTGACTGAAAGGTTACATAAGAACCAGCAAATAGTCACTTGGAGAAGTGGCCTCGGGGTCTGGAGTCTGGGAGAAAGGACATGTAGGGAGACAGGAAACAAGAAAGGATACATCTTCAGAATGGGCCAGGAACAGGGAGCCTGGAAAAACTTGGGAAGATGCCGGGGAGTACGGGTGGGTGAGTGGGCCACGGTGGAGGGTATCTGCAGTGACGGTGTGATTACTGTCAGGTTCAAAGTGTAGACTTCTCCAGGCTGGGCAGGTGAGCTATGCATGCACTCTGCAGAGCACTGTGGGATGCTGGTTATCGCTGGAGCCTGGAGGCTCCCTCAGCCCAGCCCCTTCAGCTCTATTCTCTTCCACAGGGAAGGAAGAGGAGCCTGTATCCTTGGGAATGGGGGTGGGATAGGCATCTGTCAAGGCCCAGCCTGCAGCCCCTTCACCCACACTAAGGAGGTCCAAGTCAGGGTCCTGGCACTGCCACACTCTCGCCTGTGTGGCTTTGGCACACGGCTAAGTGCTCTGGTGTCCTCATTTTAAATGAAGGATGATAATAGTAATAACAGCCACATTTGTGAGGCACGGTGCTAAGTACTTCACTCTTTTGAGGTGCCAGGGATCAAACCTTCTTTATTCATACTAGGCAGGCAAGCATTCTCTTAACTACACCCCTACCTTTGATTTTGTTTGTCTGTTTTCTGAGAAAAGGTCTTACGGTGTAGCTCAGGTCAGCCTGGAACTCTTCCTGCCTCAGCCTTCTGAGTGCTGAGGTTACAGATGTGGCACTTAATACTTCTTCGATGTCCCTACACAGCCTTAGAAGGAGGTTTTGCAGGTGAGAAAACAGGAAGTCTGAAAGGTTAAGTGATCTCCCCCCCCCCGTGGTCACCTGGCAACTGAGAAGGCGGGACTCTCGCCTCAGAGCCCCACCCTTCCTTGAGTGTGGTATCTGTGTCTCTGAGTCCCTGTGAGAGGTAAATGAGATAATGCACGTGGAGAAGTATTTAGCTACTCCTGGCACACAGCACGAGCTCGGGAACTAATGTTGTTATTATTTATTCATTGGCGCGGGTGCTCTGGGTTTTAAGGCTGGGCAGATAGCAGGGGGCTTGGGAAAGGATGGAGAAACTTCTTGGGGGTGGAGTAAGACAAGAATGCAGTTGTAGGGAGACTACAGGTGCAGGATGCTCTCTCTGGTGGGAGGGTTAGCCCGTGAGAGAAGCAGAGTAGAAGCAACGGAAGTGAACGGCTGTGTATTTACTTGAGGATCACTCCTGTGATCTCACTGGCCAGACATCTGGTTCTCCTGGGCATCCCCGGGGAAAGGAAAGTCAGACAGCATTACTTCAGCGGCTCTGATGCTGCTCCCCTCAGGTCTGCTTGAACCGGCTTGACAGCTGGAGGGCTCAGGCCGTTTCACTACAAACTGAGCCATAGCTCTAAGTCTGGTCCTGGAGCTCACTGGGAGTGGCTGTCCTTTCTGGATTGGTCACTCTCTGCTCAGATCTGGGAAACACAGGCCGCCTCCCTGTCCAGGTCTGTCCTGTTATGGAAGTCGGAGGCTGCAAGGCATTGTGTTGAGAGGGTCACTGGGTGAATCCCACACCTCTCCCCTCCCTGACTACCTGGAGAAGAGAGCCCAGGAGGGCATTCACTCGTTGGAGGAAAGAGTATGAGTCATAACCGGCAGGGAGGAGAGCTTCTGGGAGGGCTCTGGAAGCTGTGGTTACCAGGTGAGACCCTCGCAGTGCTGGTCAGCCACAGGATGGGCCATTCCATCCTTCTCTCTCACGTGGGGTCCTGGGGAGTCAAAGAGCTCCGTGAAACTCTGTGGGGGCAAGCCAGGCTAGGACCAGACAGGCACTGCCTCGCTGATGGGGAGGGCTGCAGACAGCCTTGCTCAATCCTTGCACAGTGTCTCTTCCAATAAATACAGGACAAGGACTGGACGAATGATAGTTGGTTAGAAGAGGCACCAAGTGCTAAGCTTCGGTTCTGCCTATTGCAAAAGCACCATGTTAATGGTTTTCATGATCATTTATTTAATCCAATTCATTCATTCTCTTCACTCATTCAGCAGGCATTTCCAAAAACTTACCTAGTGCTTGCCCTGTCTTAGAACTCCTGGGACAGCAAACTATTTCCTTTCTGTTTTTTCGTTCCTATGAGGTGTTCAGAGTGCTTTGTGTGCCAAGCCTAGATTGGGGAGGGGTAGGTCAGAGCGATCTATAGCCTGGTCTCTGACCAGGAAGAGCCCCCTCCTTAGGGATAACAAGCAGTCTTGGTTGAGGGCCTGCCTGATGCCTGGCCCAGCTTCCCTATTTTTTTCCAGTTTTAGATCCCCAGCTTTCCAAATGCCCCAGGACTTTAGGAGATCTAATAAATTCATGCTGCTCCTTGCTGTGTGTGTCTTCATGTGAATCTATATGACTGTCCATATGCATGTGAGCATTCATGTCAGTGTGTGTGTGTTCATGCAAATGTGCGTATTTATGCGTGTTCATGCAAATATGCATATTTATGTGTTTGCATGTGTGTGAGTGAATGTTCCTGTGACTGTGTGTGTGTGAGAGAGAGAGAGAGAGAGAGAGAGAGAGTGTTCCCATGTGTATGTGTGTATCTCAAGCTGGGACTGTCCAGAGGCGCATTTTCCCTGGGAGGGAGGTGATTTCAGTCTTCACCCTGTTGGAATTATAGACCCTGCTGGGTCTTTCTGCCAGTAGGGGCTGAGCATCCAAACTAGGCTGATGGTGGTTTCTCTCAGTCCCTGAGGGAGAACCTGTGGGAAGGCCAGGAAGTGAGAGGGAGTAAAGGCAACAAGGCACCTCAGAGTGCATGATCTCATTACCAGCCAGGATCCCTGGGGTTTCATTCCCTGCCTGGGCTTCTGGGCCTTTTTCCAACCCCGAAGGTTCCTGACCCAACAGCCTTGTCCCATAGGCCCTATTTGACTTGCAGAAGAGGCAGAAACAACCCCAGGAGATTAGGTCTTTGTCTGTGCCTGTGGTCTGCCTCTGCCTCTCCCCAGCCCAGAGACCCACCAGATTGTTCTCCAAGGAACTGGATTCTATGCAACAGCTGGCCCAGCAGAGGGAGGCTGTGAGCTGCAGGGCATGTGTGAGGGAAACTGGGGGCTGGGTACCACGTGCCCAGAAACGGGGGGCCTGTGTCTGCACGGGCGCCCCCCAACAACACTGTCTGACAAAACGCGCTGCGTCCTTGCCGTCTCTATTTTTAGTCGGAACTGGAAGGAAAGGAAATTTCGGGGCCAAGCCACCAGCCCCGGCTGTCTCTGCCAGCACCCACTCCACGTGGTGCGGGAGCACAGGAGGAGCCCCAAGTACCAGAGTCTCAGGGAGGTGGCACATTGCTCCCTCCCACCTGTCAACCCAGATACAAGAGCCCGGGGAGCCTGCAGTTAGGGGACATGCTCTAGGTTTCCAAAGGAGTAGGTGGCGCCTCCTTCCGGTCTGCTGGGGGCGTCCGGCCAGAGAAGGTGGCAGAGGAGGATGCAGACCCAGTTTGCTCCCCTGAAAACAGAACTTTGGTAGCTCTATTTGTGGGCTCTTGGGTGGAGCCCCTGCTTCATTCCACAGGCTTTAAACAGCTTAGACAGTGGTAGGACTGGCTCTTCCTCAGTGGGAGACTTGAATCAATAATCCCTCCAACTACTCCAGCAACAGAGTTGGGGGCAGAGGAAGGAGTGCTTCGGTGTCTCCCTGGGCAGAGAGACAAACTGACTGTGGCCCACAACTGTCACAGTCATGACTTCTGAGTTTAAAAAAAAAAAAAGAGGGGGGGACAGTCCAGGTGGCAGTACAGCACAGTGTTTAGAGCCTGGACTCAAATCAGCCGACAGATGTGGGTCCAATCCTGACTACTCTGCCTACTAGCTGTGTGACCCTGAGGAGGTAAACAAACCTCTCTGAAATTCTCTTTTCCTGTCTGTAGACAAACCATACCTTCCTTGTAGTGAGATTAAATGAGAAAATGTGACAAAATTTAACTGTTAGTCAATGGAATTTAAAGAGCAGATCCAGAGGCTGGAGAGACGGC